ACTGAGACAAAGAATAGATCGCTTTAAAGTATGGTACAGGATTCTTGCCACCCTTTAGCTCAAATTAGGAATGAGAAAACAGAGAAGATATGAGGGAGGCAAAAAGGCTGTTTATTTTCATTTTTGGAGCCTCTTTCCCCAGACATATCGTTTATTACTTCCATTGTTGTAATTTGCTAGTGAAGGCTGATTTGGACCATCAGTCAAATGATACATTACGATGTCAGGGAAAAAAATGTGGAAAGTGATACAGGCGATTCTGATTTCTAACTTACCTTGCTTCCCTTCACCGCCCATTTCTCGTCTATGTGATAAAGGGACCAGAAGAGGTTTGTCATATTCCTTTCAGCTCAAAAATATTACCATTTCAATAATTCATCATCTGTTTCATTGCAAGCATTCTAGAGATGCCATTTTTAGTCTCTCTGTGTGAAACTTCCGCCCCATAATATAGCTTTAAGGAATCCTAGGAAGTTACTTAACACTCAACCATATTTTTTGATAGTCCCTTCTTTCTTGAATTCCCTTTCAGGCTTGAAATTGATGGTGCTTTATATTTGTATATGATCTCATGTATTTGAAATCTGGATTTCCTTTCCTTTAGGATCTCATAGAGCATATGCTGTTTTATCAAAAAATCTGTTTTATCAAAAAATTTTGGAACACACCGGTTGGGGTGTTCCAAAACCTTGGAATGTTCTCGAATTCAAAATATGACAAATAGAGAATTCATATGCTTCTGTTAAGAGTAGGATTCCTATTTTATAAACCTCTAGAGGTAGTCGAACTTGCCAGTAATGTGCCCTTTGAATCTGGCAGGACTTGAAAATCTGAATAGGGCAGAAAATTAATTACGTCTCTCATTAGCATTTACAAAATAAATCCTCACAGTGTTAACTTACCAATAAGTGGATTTTATATTCCAGGCTCTGAAAGTATCCTGCTTACGTAAGGTAACAAAGTCTCAAAGATGAACAAACGAACTTTTCAGGAAGAGCTTGACTTGAGTGTATCTTGGCTTCCTTTCTGAGTTTTAGCCTTAATGTTATGGTAATGTTTTCTTTTCTTAGGAATCAGATAATCTTGAATTTAGAAAAATTGTTTTGGTGAACATTGTATTTTTTAATGGTGACTTGTATTTTGTGAAATGCAAATGTTCAAACAGTTTGTGAGAACTAACCATCGCCACCCACGGGTAAGATTATCCGGGAATGGAGGAGGTTTGGCTGACTTGTGTATATCGTGGGGCCAAAGCCGATGGCAGCCTCTACCGCTTGTAACGATTTAGAGGTTTGAAGTGATACTTTTAAATACAAATAATATTAAAATTGGCAACATATAAAGTATATTATATCCTGTGTGGACTAATTATACTAGATTTACATCTGGTCCATTTGTATCGATGTGCCCATTATATAAATTCTGTACAATATTACAAAGATCACTTTTTTCCTTTCGGCCTTTCAAAAACTTTTAATAGTGAGAATTACCAGCATGGGGTAAAACTCACACAATTACTGGAAATTCTGGAAGTCTCTTTGAAGAGTGTAGAAGAAAACAAAAGCACATTTCTCTAATGTTAAGTCCTTAGAGAATCCGATAGGCATCTGCCTAGTTGTACCCTGAAGAGATGGGAGATTAAGTGCCAGGCACAGGCCGCAGGGGACCAGGCTCCCAACCTGAGGTCTTTCCCTGGACACCAGAGTTGCCTCGCAGGCTCTTGGAGATTAAATCGGCTCTGTCTGTGGGTGGGCCCCGAGGGCCGGATGTTTGCTGAACCGGCCAGAGCGTGGCCGGACTGTTTTCTAGATAATAAATAATATTTACCATGTACATTTTTTTATAAACCTCTAAAAAAAATTACATAGAACCTGTGCAGAAATCCGCTCTTACTGCGGAAAGCCGTGACAAGCGACACGGCTTTCTCTAGAGTGCACTGCAGATAAGACCTCTGAGACTGTAAATTGGTGCTCTCTCTCGGAGAGCCAGCCTGCCCTTGTCTGATGGCCCTGGATAAGGAAGGCCAGATAAGATTCTTTGAAGGCTCTTAACTGCATTTCGAACCAAAAATCCTACATACATTTGGCTATTCTGTAAGAATGGAGGGCCAGCCTTACTTTCCAGGCTGGTCAGTTAAGATCTGAGATGAACTTAAATGCTGTTTTCCCTGGAATGGAAAAGGTGGATTGTAATGCTGATCTAGGGCTGAGATTTTGCAGGTAAAGACAGGGTCACAGAGAGGAATAAAGATTTTAGCAAATGGCATATTTGTTCTCTGTAGTCAGAATAATGTAAGAAGCCAACAGTCTCAGCTCAACTTTTTCCCTTGTGTTTTCAGTATAGAATAATTATCTCCATAAAAACAATTTTCTATAGAAATTCCAGCCTTTTGCCTTTGCAATCTGCTTATTATCATCCTCACGAATTCTTTGACTTTACCAGCTTCTTGGTACCACAAGGCTAGCATTGCCATCTTTGTTATAGATTCAGTTTGGGAATTTCATTTTCTTCTCTATGTCCTCTGCCATTTCTTAGTTCTCATTCTTACTGCATATTGCCGGTGAAAACCTATGCAGCTTATGGAATATGTCGACTCTCTCAACTTTTTATTATCTAACTGCCATCAGTTATCACTTTATTCAGAAAGTGAGTAAAATACATAACAACAATATACTCTCACAAATTGACCACTTAGAAAATTAGCTACAACTCCAAATTCCTGTCCATTGAACACGGTGTATCTGCTGTTTCCTACCATGGTTTAGACGGGGCACGGTCAGTTTATTGGTTATTTGTGGAAGTTTTAAATCACAATGAAATGCAATGGAAGGTGGAATTGTGCATCTTGTGGAAGTTGTAGAATGACCTGAAGTCAGGCAGAACCTGAGTCACATGAAAAGCGATGCATGAGCACCGGACAGAGTTAATTCATTAAGGACGATGCTATGGCCAATAGGCTCAAAAATTAATTCTAGTATCAAAGAATTGTCAGAGGCCACTGGGGAAATTGAGGAAATTCTCAAAGGCTACAAAAATTAACCATCTTTTCATAAAAGATGTTATATATCATGACACTATGTGTTTTTGTTGGGAAATCTGCATCGATGACAATGAGTCATTTTAATTCAAACAATTTGTTCTTGTTTACCATTATAATTACATTTTTAGAATAAAGTGTGATAGTTAATTTTTAATATTCTTTTAGGGGAAAATAATTCTCTTCCCACAGTTTTTAAGAAGGTCTATGGGCATTTATTTTATGCTACACTGACTCCTAGGCTACAAGTTTTTGTTCCTCATTTAAAAAAAGATTTAAGAAATTCTTTTAGGAAGAGGGGAAGGAAAGGAGAAAAAGAGGGAGAGAAACATTGTTGCGAGAGAGAATCATTGATGGGTTGTCTCTCCTATGAGTCCCACCTGGGACCAAACCCTCAACCCAGGCATGCGCCCTAAGTGGGAATTGAAGTGGTGACCTTGCCCTTTGCAGGACGATGCCCAACCAGCTGAGCCACACCACTCAGGCCTGTTTCTCATTTTCATTGGGATATGTTTTCTTCAGTCCAGTCTCCGGTTCTGCTTTAGAAACACCCTGTTCTTTTACAGTAAGGATCAGGTCAGTGTTGCAAGGGCAGCTCGTGTGTGGGTTTAGCTGACCTCGCACTCAGCGCTGTACGGAAGCCTGGCAGCACCTGCTGGGGCTTTCGTTTACCTGCATGTGCTCAGTGACCAGAGAATCTCCATTTTACTCCTTAGGTTCAGTATCACCCTCTGCCGTTTTAAACACGTGCAGCAAAAAGCTAGCGCCCCCTTTGGGCAGTTGATTCTGCATACACCTACCAGCTCCACCATTACCAAAAGGTACCGTCACACACTGGTTCTGTAAAGTGGCATCTTTCAGATACTTGGTGGCTTTTCCCATGTACAGTCCCTTGATGGCAATTCCCTTGATGGCAGTTTTGTCAATGTTCTTAAAGTGAACGTGAATATTTGAACCTCTTGCTTTGCATGATGGTAATGGGTTTTCTGGTGAATTGCGAACCATTTTTAGGGCTCTCCATGAGCTGCTTGCAGAAAGAGCCTTTTTTTTTCTCTATAATTGATTCTGAAATATCAGCACGTGGTTCCACCAGTCAATCTTTGTTGAAGGAACCGGAAATCATGGTAGATACAATCAACAGAAGGGCTTACTGTATAAAATTATTTTTTTTCCCATGGAAAATTAAAAAGGTTTGAATGATCCACTTCTAGGCTATAGCCTTTCAAAACAATCCCGTTCAACTAATATACTAGGAAGGCTAAAACCAAGTAGCCTTCCACTTGACATTGGAGAGCCGATGCTGGAATGTTATTTCAGAGCAGCGTCAAGTTAGACAGTGCTGGTAGCTAGCGGGACGGTGAAGACACACGGGAGTATTGCCCCGACCTGTTTCCACTTTCCAACTCTCTGTGGCTGCGTCTAATGGGATGAACCCCGCCACAAGGGAGTCGACACATGTGGTTTTTCTTCCCACTTCTTTACCCAGAAGGAGAGGGAGCTGGAGGTTCAGACAGCCAATCCAAAGTAACGGCCAAATTGTCTTAAGTGGATTCCACTTAAGAAGTCTTTTTCCGCCCTGGCCCATCGACTCCGTTGGCTGGAGTGTCATCCTGTACACCAGAAGGTTGCAGGTTTGACCCCCTGTTGGGGTGGATATGGGAACATCCAAGTAGCAGATGTTACTAGGCAGGAAAGAGAGGCGACCTGGAGTGAGAAGATCCTCCCTCAGGATTTTCCTGCCTGTTTTCAGAGGTCTGCTCATCTTCCGCGATATCATGTAAAGACTGGACAAGCACAGGCTGCAGGATTTTTTGGTAATGTGTGTAAACCCCTTTGAAATTCGAAGGTGGAGAGATTTCTGATCTTTACAGAAATGAACAAACATCTATTTCGCTTCTTTTTTTTTTTTGATATTTGGAGATTCCTTATTTTGTATTTTAACTATGTCTTTGTTGCCCTTCAGGAAGTTGCAGACATGAAGTCTGAGGGACAGGCGACTGTAATTCAGCAGCTGGAACAGACCATCGAGGATCTGAGGACCAAAATCGCTGAACTAGAGAAACAGCATCCTGCTGTGGACGCGGGCCTGGCCAGCGGCCCACCCGGGGTGCGGAACGGGGTGGCGTCCTCGGAGGAGGTCCGCCTGGAAGCTCTCAGGTTAGGACAAAAGGATGTACAGCCTCAGCGGATTTTACGGGCACAGTCCATCCAGACGTCCCCAACAGAGGAAGGGGGGCTACCGGCACTGCCTTCTGTTACTACACTGCCCGAGCGTCCCTCTTGGCCACCAGGGGCTGAAAGCGGAGTCGCGGCTGTGCCATCCCCACCTGCGGGACCTCAGACAAAATTCTGTTCGGAGATTTCTTTGATTGTGTCTCCAAGGCAAATATCAGTGCAACTCAGCGCACATCAGTCCACGCAGCCTCCGCCACCTCCACCCCTGCCGCGGCCAGACGGTCGGGCAGAGGCGGCCTCTGGGTCGTCCCAGCCTTCCTTTCAGACTCAGCTTGACAGCAGCCACCAGCAGTCCGTGTCATCGCCCCCTGAGGACAGCCCGAAAGTCCCACCCCCGCCGCCTCTGCCTGGCACTGGGTCTTCCAGCTCCATGCCTGGCCTGGGCATGGTGCCTCCCCAGCCTCCTCCCCTCGGTACCGCAGTCCCTCCGCTGCCGTCTATGCCCAGTACAGAGATGCTGCCACCCCCTCCCCCTCCTCTTCCTGGAGTGGGGATACCCCCTCCCCCTCCTCCCCCTCCTCTTCCTGGAATGGGGATACCCCCTCCCCCTCCTCCTCCTCCTCTTCCTGGAGTGGGGATACCCCCTCCCCCTCCTCTCCCTGGAGTGGGGGTACCCCCTCCCCCTCCTCCTCCTCCTCTTCCTGGAATGGGGATACCCCCTCCCCCTCCTCCCCTGATACCCCCTCCCCTCCTCCTCCTCCTCTTCCTGGAATGGGGATACCCCCTCCCCCTCCTCTTCCTGGAGTGGGGATACCCCCCTCCCCCCTCCCCCTCCTCTTCCTGGAATGGGGATACCCCCTCCCCCTCCTCTCCCTGGAGTGGGGGTACCCCCTCCCCCTCCTCTTCCTGGAATGGGGATACCCCCTCCCCCTCCTCTCCCTGGAGTGGGGGTACCCCCTCCCCCTCCTCTTCCTGGAATGGGGATACCCCCTCCTCCTCCTCTTCCTGGAGTGGGGATACCCCCTCCCCCTCCTCTTCCTGGAGTGGGGATACCCCCTCCCCCTCCTCTCCCTGGAGTGGGGATCCCCCCACCTCCTCCCCTGCCAGGTGTGGGTATTCCACCTGCTCCCGCTCCTCCTCCTGGTCCTGGAACAGGCGTCCCCTCACCCCCACCTCCACCCCCACCTGCTCTGCCTCCGGGATCTGGCCCTCCACTCGCCCCACAAGTTGGGGGTAGCACTTTACCAGCACCACAAGTGTGTGGATTTCTTCCCCCTCCGATGCCAACGGGCTGGTTTGGCTTAGGAATGAGCCAGGACAAAGGGAGTAGGAAGCAGCCCATAGAGCCTTGCCGGCCAATGAAGCCTCTGTACTGGACGAGAATCCAACTGCACAGTAAAAGGTAACACGGACGGGAGCTCCTCTTTGCGAAGGTTGTCAGTACGAGGGAAGCATTTGCCTTTACAACTTGGGTGAATTACAGTGTAATGTGTTTTTAAGTACTGCTCTCAAATATTTACTGAAACAAGCTGCTATTTAAAACTTTACTTTTCTCCAGAAGAATCAAAAGGATGAAACAAGTGACGTGTGTGTATCAATGCATAAGATGTTCAGATATCTGCCTAAGTAGTTACTGACTGATCTTTTAAAGTTAGAGGAATATACAGGGTCCGGCAGAAGTAACTCCTGCTTGACTGTGATTGGCAGGGTAATGATATGGGTGTAATAATTTATAGTTTTCATTTGAACATTTCACCTAACACGCCATATGGTGTGCTTGAGTGTGGTATTGCTGTGTTACAGAAATACATGCTTATGATTTTATAATAAAGAAGGGGCGTTATTTGTGCTGGACTCCGTTTTTTTTTTTTTTTTTTAAATATTTATTTTTTTTTTAGCATGCATGCCTTACTGCCTAGTAGCAGAACCTTACCTTGATAATAGCTTATAAATGTAAATCAGACCCTTGGGCAAACTGAGTCTTGAAGGTGTCGTTTGCATCTTTTTGAAGGCACAGCCTTGTGTTATTATTGTGTTTTGTTTGCAGGTGTCTTTCTCTACACAGATGTGTTACACAGAAATGCGAGTGTCCATGCCCTAGATGTGAAATAGTTTTGCTTTGAGAATTTTATGCCACTTTTCACAGGAGATGGGCAGCACCGTGTGAAGTCTTGAAATTATGGTTGTGAATGATATTTGTGAAAGAATACTCCCCCCCAGGTGCCCTGGTGCTGTATTACGTATCCATGCGTTTTCCCTGGGTTGCGTCCCCTGATCCCTGGGACGGTGCTGTGAGGCATGGCTATGGGATGGGCCAGTGAGAGAAAAAAACTCGCCTTGTTCGTGATTCCTTGAATTTGGTTTGTGTGATATGGCATGGATTTAGAAGCAGGATATTTGCCAGGCTTGCTCTCATTTCTCATATTAATGTTTTCTCTCTCTTTTAAAAAGATTTTACTTATTTTCAGAGTGGGAGGGAGGAAGAAAGAGAGGGAGGGAAACATCAGCCTGTGGTTGCCTCTCGTGCACCCCCTACTGGGGACCTGGCCTGCAACCCAGGCATGTGCCCTGACTGGGAATCAAACCAGTGACCCCTTGCTTCTCAGGCTGGCCCTCAACCCACTGAGCCACACCAGCCAGGGCAATATTTTTCTCTTTACTGAATCATATTGGGGGGAAGAATCGATATATTTACTTCTTTGTCGCTCATTTACTGTTTACCTATGTATGTTGCTGCATTTTAAACCATGCCCCCAAATAAGTTTATCCTGATATATTATATGAAGTTATTTTGCTGCTGCTGTTGTTTCTGCATGGATCTACCCTTTGTAGGTGGCATTACCTGAACCTGTAGTTACTGTGAAGTCAGGTCACACCCGTGCAGTGGAAAGGGTAGGGAGATGATAGCTGCATGATCATAAAATGATTTGTTTTTAACACATAAATAATGTGCAGTGCTGATGAGTCCAGTGACAGTTGTGAGATACCAGAACATTTCCTGCCTTCATCGTCCACACTGAGAAGGTGGTCTTTTTCTTTTATGTTTTTATACACTGCCTTGATAATGGAGAATTCCCGGAAATCACTATTTCCAGGCAAAGGTTTCATTCCATGTTGATGCTATTTTAACTTCCCTATCAGGTTGATAGAAGGAATGGCGGTCTTAAAGAAAAGGGGTGTCCTTTCCCTTTTCTCCTCCCCCCTTTGCCTCTCTGTTCCTCCTTCCACTGCTCCCTTCCTCCCCGACTTCTCCTCGTCCTTTTCCCCTCCTCTGCCCCTCTTTCCTTCCCTTCTTCCTTCGCGTTTATGCTGAACCGTGCTCTCTCATAGTTCCGTGTGGTGGTTTTTCCAATTGGTGTTCTGCTTAACTTTAGAGACTCCAGTGCTTCGCTCATTTGGGAAAAAATCGAAGAGCCATCCATAGACTGTCATGAATTTGAGGAATTATTTTCTAAAACTGCTGTGAAGGAAAGGAAGAAACCTATTTCTGACACCATCACAAAGACCAAGGCTAAACAAGTGAGTACTTGTGTGTTTTCTAAAATCTGGCAGTGTTTCGTGTACAAGCGTGAACTTTCATTAGAAAAAAACTTTGCAATCGTTTCCTGGGCTGGATGAAGTCTGCAGTGCTTAAGCAGCTATTAGAGGTTAGAATTAGATAACGTGTGGATAAAGGAGAGTACCTGAAATAGATCAACAGGTAATCATCACCAAGTGATCATCTCAGCAATTGCTTGTCTCCAGAATTACTTGTCTAGAAATGCATTGTCATTTGATTGAAATCAGTCTGAGATGCACTATTATGAATGGTAAGAATGGAAAGAGCTGGCTAAGAGAAACAAGCCAGAAGGCCAGTAGTTTGTAACCGATGGTGGGTTTGGTATTTGGCTGTGTTATGACTGCAGCGGATGCTCTGTGGAACCCAGCTACATGGTCCCACTGTGTTTGACATGGGGAAGAAAATCTTGAGTCCAGTTCCAGCCTGTCTGTACCATTCTGCCCAGTCCTTTGATCTATCCTGTGACACTTGAGTCACGAAAAGAAAGAGCAGTGCCCTTGGAGAAAAACATCCCCAAGCAATATTTTCATCTGGTCCACCGAGTGGACTTGATCATGAAATGATGTTGTAAATTTCTCAAGAGAGGCATTCGGGAAAGTAGAGTTAAAACCCTATAAAAATGAGCTGCAGATAGAAAGTGTTGCTCTTGGTGCCTGTCTTTTATCCTGAATAGGGAGTGGCTACATTTCGTAGCATTTTTTTGGGGGGGGGAGAAACAGGGAAATGCATGGAGACAAGAGAATGGCAAGCAGCTCAGTGTTTTGGGGTCAGAGAGGGAGAGACCGGAAGCCCCAGGTGCCCACTGTTTCCCTGCTGCAGTCTCCCAGACGAATGGGCACCTAATGGGATGATCCTTAAATTTTGGCCTCTGACCTGGAAGTCGTAGCTGGATGTATGACCCCGAGTTGTTCCCACTGACATGTATTTCCGAGCAGACGACAGCTGCCACCAGACAGGAGTGGGTTGGATTTGAAAGGGGCAGCTGGAGCCCTGGAACTTCTAGTGAGTGGGTGGGCGGGCTCACCCCAGGCCTTTCGATTAAGCTGATAATGATGCAAACCCAAATGTTAGGCGGGTGAAATTTTCTGAACCACTTAATCGCACTGTAGCTGGTGGCTGGTGACCTTAGGTCAGTGCCTCTGGTAAATTAGACAGCACCTGGCGCATGGTAGGCACTGAATAAATACTTGTTTAACAAACAAACCAGCTGGCCCAGGGAGGAAGGCTTTCTGAAAAGCAGTGACTATGCTCAGTAAAGATAAAAAACCAGAAAACCATTCATCTCATAACAATCAGTTTGGCCAACGTGGCAGTGTTAAGGGGAGCAAAGGTAAATGGAAAAACACATGTTCTCTGGCAGAGGTAAATATTTCTAAAATCGTTTCCACGGTATATTGGTATATAGCGCACTCAGGCTGAGTCATTGCTGTCTTCTCACGGATGGTATCAGAGATGGAGAGACTCTGCCTTGGAAAGGAAGTTGGGAGGAGGGTGTGGCAGCCGTGATTGACACTTGATGAATGGGAAGATGAGACATGGGCTGTCTTTTGTCCAGAGACCAAATACTCAGAAAAGCAAGCCGTGCCCATCCCACCTCCCTTCACTACTTTATTCTTTTAAGTGAACACAGAAAAGGAAAATGCCTCATATGTTGCTTGAAACAATAGGATTTCCTGATTTACTTGACCTGGTATTCAGTTTTTAGCTGACTAAAATAAGACAGAGCCCTGGTTCGGTAGCTCGGTTGGTTAGAGTGTCATCCCAACATGCTAAGGTTGCAGGTTGGATTCTCCATCAGGGTACATAGAAGAATCAACCAATGAATTTTTAAAAAGTAGAACAACAAATTGATGTTTCTTCCATTGTCTCCCTCCCTTTCTTTCTCTCTGTAGAAATCAATTAATAAATTTAAAAATATATAAAAAATAAAGTTTATATCCGACTCATCAAAATTCAAACTTAGCTGGTCCGCGTGAGCTGGGCTCTTTGCCTGCGAACTGTGCATGTGTACTTCACTTCATCTGAATGCAACCACCTACCTCCTTCATTAAGGCATTTCATACTCTGTGGGTCAGAGACTTTGCCAGTGTGCTCATTTGCACTATCGGTGGTGATGCTACTGTGTGCCTTGAGCTTCAAGCAGGGTTTAGGGCGTGCCCTTCTTGGCGACTCCAGATGAGCTTGTTGAGCATCTTCTTGGCCTGGGTATTCGTACTGAGCTCTGCACTTCAGGTCTGTTTCTGGAGGGATAAAGTACATTTCTCTGCATGTTGGGGAGGGAAAAATCTGCCTCCAAGTGATATATTGCTGAAGAAACCGACTTTTATTGAACTTCGCTGTATTTGGAAGAAAACCCTATCCATTCCATCTACTTGAGACATTTAACATTTTATTTAAGGAAAACGTATTCTCAGGATGCATGCAAATCATTCCTCCTTTTATGGAAAACGCATACTGATTGTATGTGCAGACATTTTGGTACCTCATGATTCATTTCCAGTGAAATTAATAGCTTTCAATGCTGTGGCATATGTTTAAGGAGGTATTTAAAGCAATGTTTAAATTCACTGGAAGCTAGAAATTCTGTTTCTCTTTAAATATCTAAAAATAGCCAAATAATTCCTCTGTGATCTGTCTTCTAGAAAGTTAGGCGGTGGTCAAACTCAGTGGTATGTGATGAGGTGTGTGCACTGTTTTTACTCCATCAGAAAAGACTTTTTCGTTGTAATCCTGGAAGACTCCTTAGCTGTGCACCTTGCCCTCAGACTTAAAGAGAAAGAGGGTTATTCTGTGGACACCTAAACAAGTACTATTCGTGAATATCTTGTATTTCTAAGTGTTTTTTCCTCCAAAAATATATCTTAAAGCATTTCACTTTTTTCATGAATCATGTATTTAAGTTATGTGGTGAATTCTTAGATTAACCTCCTTTATGTTGAATTACATTAAAAACACAAGGAGATTAGTCGAGAAGGTAAATGGGAGTTTATCAGAATATGATGTGTCCTGGTCCTCCTCACCAAGTGAGTGTGACACTTATACATCACAATTGAATATCAGCCTGATAACTTAACACAATAGCAACCACTCCATCTCTTAAGAAATCAAGAAGAAAATCAAAAATAGTCTCCTATGAGGTCAGTGTTTCAACATCAATTCCCATACAAACTTGCTCATTTTTAACGAATGCTCAAGAGCTAGTTAAACACTCAGCCAAACCTCCCCTTTATTGCCAGGGTAACTGAGTGATTAGTAACACTGATAATGACTCTTTACCTCCAGACTTTTCTGTGTGCAGACAAAGGCTAAGATTAACCCAAGCAGTAGCAGCATCGGCAGCAATACTAGTTATAATCAGGGTAATTACGAAGACAATAGTAATAATAGCCATGGAAACCACAAGCCACGTTGTCTTTATTTATCAGATGTCACTCATTATTTTTGGCCTCTTATACTAACTTCTTTTTATAAAATTCTTTTTATATTTTTAAAAAATATTTTATTTTTTAAAGATTTATTTATTTACTTATTTTTAGGGAGGGGAAGAGAGTGAGAAAGAGAAGGAAAGAAACATCAATGTGTGGTTGCTTCTCGTGCGCCCCTTACTGGAGACCTGGCCGACAAGCCAGGCATGTGCCCTAGACTGAGAATCAAACAGGCGATCCTTTGATTTGCAGGCTGGCACTCAATCTACTGAGCCACACCAGCTAGGGCCATTTTACTGTTCCGATTGATGATTTCCACTATTCTGTCTTCCAGATCACTCATCCGCTCTTCATATTCACAAATTGGCTGTTGATTCCTTTTAGTGTATTTTTCACTGCAATGATTGTATTCTTCATCTATGATTGGTTCTTAGTAATATTTTTTGACTCTTTATGGAAATGTTCTCTGAGCTCCTCCTCTCTTCTCCTCTCCAGATTGTCGAGCATCCTTATGGTCCATTCTTTGAATTCCATATCAGGCAGATTACTTAATCTTCATCTCATCAGAGTCGTTTTCCTTCACTCGAGGCATGTTCATCTGTCTCCCCATTTTGTTTGACTTTCTGTGTTTGCTCCTATGAATTAAATGAAATGGTTCTCTCTCCCAAACTTGAAAAAGTAGTCTCATATAGAAATGGCCTCTGTGTAGAATGTGCTTGGCGGGTTGGTGGGTTGGTCGGCATCAGGGTGGTCACATGCGTTGCCAGTGGAGCATCCGTGTTAGCAGTGTCCTGCGGTCTCTTGGCCAGCGGGAGCTGGTTTGGGGCCAAGCTGGTGTGCAAGTGGATGTGGTAGCTGCCTGTTATTCCAGCTGTCTTCAGAATACCTATTTTCTGCAGAGGATTTGAATTTTGTATTGATTTACATACACTTCCAGTAGTTAAGTGACTGTAGTTATACTTATGAAATTGGATGTAGAGACATTTTTTTTCCATAAAAAGCCTTTAAAAGATTTTTACAAGTACATACCAGATTTTTACAAGTACATAAACTATGATGCCACCAAACATAACACTTGCTCAGTTAAACAAAACTTTATCTGAGTAATGTGAGCTTCAGATATATGAGTTTCTGTAAGCGGTAAAAATGAGGACCGTTGGTTTGTGTGGCAGGTAAATAGGGGCTGGAGACATACCGCCCCTGACATTAAACCTAACCAAATGCCATATGATGATAGTTTTGATTCACCCCAGGACACTAAAGGAACCACTTTTGTAAAATATGCCTTAAGTATATAATTTCTACTCATGTTTTAAGAATTGGTAGGGCAGCCTACCACCCACAGTATAAATCTGCACACAGAAGTTAACAAGGGAATAAGAAAGAACTGTGTTGCTTTTTAGATACATACCTGATACTTGTGCATCTATTTAATGCCACGTAAATGAATCTCTTCTTGGCTTCCTTCCGTTCTGTTGAAATGCTTTACCCACAGAGTGGGGGAGGCAATTTATGATAGTTAAATATTTCTTGGG